TAGGCCTACAATGGCAGCTACATCAAGTAGAGTGGGTGTCATCATCCCGCAAGGGAGGTGGAAGGTGTTGTGAGTTCTATCCCAGAAGAATAAGGAAGAAGCCAGCATAAGGGGGCAGTACGAAGGACCTACCTTCAACATCATAATTAGATCGTAAATCCCAGTGTCCTTCCATTCCTGGGCTTTTACTTTCTCTATTTTTGTCAGCCAGTTGAGATAAAGCTCGAAATCTTTGAAGTAAGGAGTAACCCTAAATAATCTGGCCCCATCATGAAGATACATAAAGTCTACGTCGAAGAGGCTCAGGCTATTAGGACCGTCAGTGGAAATTTTGTTAGAGTCTCTTTGCCCTAGGGGTTTAGTGGTTCTATAAGAGGGGAAGAAATCTTTAATGGCGGAATAGTCAAGACCTGAAGAGGGTAAGGGCCCAGACATGGCTAAAGGTCTCCCTGCAACAGTAACAAGAATGATTACCTGAGATTCGTAAATGTGGCGTTTCTCCTCAGTCAAGGGTTCGCGGATGAACTGTTGATTCTTTACCACCTGGGGGCCGCTCAAGCTAACAAAGGGAGGAAGCATGAATGTAGAAGTCTGTCCTTTGGATGACATTTTCTTCTTTTGATGATCAACCATTTTTGAAGAAAGTAAGAATTTGTTGGTTGGGAAGCAGAAAATTAGAGGAAAAGCAAGGAAGTTGTGAAGAGTTAGAGAAGTTGGAAAAAATGAAAACATCAAAGGGAAACCACTTATATAGTGTATGGAAGACTGAAAGTTTTCATCATTAAGGGGTTAGAGTTAGTGGGCCACGTGTGTGCTTGGATGTGGGATGGCAGAGGCAGTAGTTGCAATTCACGTCCCTGAGGTTGGAAGGGTAATGATGGCCCACAATTTTGTTGATTCTCGAGAAAATAGCCATGATGAAAATGACGTCATAAACGTGCATCAAGGTGGCAGAATAGTAGCTTGCGTTTTCCTAGTTATTTTTCTTCTTTCTCTTTCATTCCCTTTCACCTTCCCATACTTGCATTGGTGGAAAAAGTATTATACGACACGCATGAGGACAAAGCGGCGTCGAAGGTCATACATTGTCAAAAAATGTGCTTTTCTACAGTCGAAGTCGAAAAGACATTTTTTTGGGGGAAATTTGTTAGCTCCTAAATTCTACGCCTCATGTAGAAGGAAGGTATCCAAGACAAAAGGGTAAAAAATAAGTTAAGTATAAGAGAATGGTCGAAAGAAGTAAAGCAGTCAGAAGAAGTAGTCGAAGGACTCACCCAGAAGCCAAGAGTTCGACCGCTTGCTGAGAGAGATGGTTCGTCGAAGGATTTTGAAATTCAAATATTGGAGGGAACGATTTTGCTTGTTGAATATTGAGGGAGACATGTGTCACCCTAGGAGCAGGGTAACCATGCATTTGTGACAAATGGCGCAAGGAGATGATGATGGAGGTTATTAGAGGTTATTTGTTTACTACTATAAATAGGGTGTCTTAGACATATCCAAAGTGTGTTGTAATTTACTATTGTACAAATTACTCTTGAAATTACTCCAAGTATCCGAGTGTAGAGAAAGCGAGTATTGTAAGAGAACGTACGTGATGTAAACACACCATCTTTTAACTTAATGCAATTTACTTATTTTTACTTTAAATTTTACAAAATCTTTTATTGTCTTTACCCCTTTTTCCCCTTACTTTACTTCTCTCCTTCCTATGCAATTCTTTTCTCTTCGTCCTCACTCTAACTTCACCCATACCAACAAACTTTCTTCTCTTTTATTGAAAGCCTTACTTTATCTTTAAATTAACCCGTAGTCGAATAGATGTTCCTTTAGGATTCTTTTATCCTAATGTTGTTCGAGTGTTGAACTTGAATAAACTCTTAAAATAAAAACAAAACCTTTTAGCACATGTCCTAGGATCAATCTGATAGATCCTGTGAGTCACCAAAGTTAGATTTGGAAGATCAGCGGTTGTTTTCCGATTTTCAAGGGAAACATTCGTCAAAGATGGAAAGGTTAACACTACAAGAAAAATTGTTTTTAGCTATGGTTTAACCCTCCCCCCACCAGTGCAAAAACCCTATCACAAAATATAAATTTGTGTGGAGATATGACCCCTAGCTAATAAAGGCATCACAAATAAATGGCTAGGGGATAAACCCCTCAAAAATTGGCTAAGGGTTAAGCCCCTCACAAATTGAAACTCATAAAACTCAGTCTGTTACACAGTAGGCATATGAGTAGACTAGTGACAGAGTGACATAGACATGTCATGTAATTTGCCAGGGGATAAACCCCTAACTAAAAGGGTTGTATTTTGCATTTGGTGAGGGGTAAAACCCCTAGCTAACTGTGTCAGATATTTGCGAGGGGTAAAGCCCCTAATAAATTGATTTACGTTTTGAACTTTGTGAGGGGTTTAACCCGTGGCTAATGTTCATAATAAAAAACATATAATTATATACTTATATGATTTAATTCATATTTTCTATAAATATATTACTAAAATATATTAATATCTTAAAAAGTGTATACTTTCTAAAAAAAAAAGTGTATATTAATATATAACAAAACTATATTACAAAATAATATAAATGTACTACTAAAATACATAAAAAATGTTATTTTTTATATTAATACACTAAATAACATAAACAATGTATACATATTATATTTATAAACAACACATATAAACAACATATACATATATTTATAAACAACACATATAAACAACATCTACATATTCATATATTAAATAATATAAACAACAACAAAAACATATCTATACTGTTTTTTCTTTTCAATTTTATTCTAACAAATATTTTATAAATATTATAATATAAATCCTAAAAATTTTAAAAATTTAACACTTTCACATGAATATATTTATACATGCAACACGAATAATAAAAAAAATTAATTAGTAAATATAAATTTTAAATTCATGTAAATTATAGTAAAAGAACAATATTTACCTAATTTTAGATTGGTAGAATATTTGAAAGAAGAAGAAAGGGGATGTTTGATGGAAGTTGTTTTTACTGAAAAATGAGAGAAGAAGAAGAAGGGTGGCTAATGAGAAGAAAAACGAGAGAGAGAGCAGAAAAATGAAAGAGAAAATAACGTGTCTGAGAAAGAAGAAGGAACCTGCAATTAATGTATGCAACTGACGATGGGATTCCCCTAGCTAAAATGAACATATATAATTGGTTAGGATTGTCCCTAGCGAATGTTGACGCGTTGCATGCACCTTTTTGTCACATAGCATGCTTTAATAGCTGAAATAAATGTTTTTTTATGACAGATTTGACTTAATCATAACAACCGGTGAGGGGCCGTCCCTAGCTAAATGAACGAATATAATTGGTGAAGGGGTATCCCCTCGCAAATGACAACATTTTCCAGCACACTTTGACATTTTTTTTTGCGAGGGGTGACTCATAACAATTTTCAATTTCAAAAATTCAAAAAAAATTTCCTCCTATATTTGTGAGGGGCCACCCCACGAGTTTGATTTATATAGTTTTTTTAAATTTTAAATATTTTGTGCATTGCGAGGGGTTTAACTCTAAGCAATGTTTTTTTTTTAGTGAGGGGATTTACCCCTAACAAAATCCTCTGACTATACAAGTTTTTTCTTTTAGTCGACGTTGACCTCGGGGAAGCTTTCAGGAGTTTTGCTTTTCCATCTTTGCCCGTGGCGAATCCAGAGCATTCAGTTGGTTTCAAATAAGAACGAAAAAACCCAAGCTTACGTTAGAGTGCATCGTCACACTTTCGATTATTACCCTTCTGACAATGAAGTAATGTGGTGGTTAAAGTTTCAATTTCGTGTTCATACTCATATCGTAATCTCTTGTATGTATGTCATGGTGGATCAAGAGACATTAGATATAATTTCTGCTTTAGTTGCTAAAGGTGTTTGGACAATACCTTCACTAAGGTGAGCTCCTCCGCTGACTGACGAGTATTTTTCTCATAAGAAGACAATAGATTGTACAACAAATATAAGAGATGTATTCTTCGATTTGTGAACACGTTTTCAAACGACCTCAAAATAGAAAGCGGAATTCAAAGATGTCAGATCACAAGAAAAACTAATTGTCAAATTCAACAAACCTATATCCATTTTATGGTAAAATATAAATAAAATCTTACACATTAATCTCTAATAAAAAGTAAATAAATAATGACAGACTTTTTTTTATCCTATTCAATATTAATGCAATAAAAATATTATTTACATAATGTTTATTTTTTTTTTGATGAAATATCTATTTTTTTAATGAAATCTAAATCAGATAAGATATAATTTGGATAAAATATTATTAACAATTATAAATTTAATCAACTTATTATTATTTATAAACGTGAAAATTTTATTCACACTTTATTACATAATAAACAATTATTATCAATATTGAAATAAAGTAAAATATATATAGTTTTTTTCTTTTTCTTTTCATACAAAGACCAAAACACGGGAAGGTCCAATTAATAAATGTCAAAATAAATAAATAAATGAGAAATCGCGAATCGATCTTTTAGGTACGAGTGACGTGTGTCGATAACGCATCTGAAATCCAAGCCGTTAATTGGTTAGATAAAAATCGGGCCGCCCATTTTATTCTCAACCCGTTATATAAGTCTCTTCGGTTCGCATGACCACATCAAGAAACAGATCTTCAAACGCTAACCACTCTTTTCAGAATAGTAAATCACAAAAATAATAATCAAAATCAGGGTTTCTCAATCTCCCTCTTGTGAAATCTCGATTCCTCAACACGATTTCACCTTCGCTTAATTTCTTGAAATTTTTAATCGATTCTTAAATTTCACTAAACATCGATTTAGGGTTTTGAATCGGAATAATCGACGCCGCCGATCAAGAATTTCTGATCGGAGATAACTTTTTTTGTGTGTCTGTTTTCGTGATTATTCATTGAATTTTCAAGAAATTGTTAGTTTGTTTGTAGTTAGTGTTTGTTTGTTTGGTTACGATGAACGATCAATCGAAGATGATGATGAATTTGAACCAGATGAACCAGTCTCAGATGATGAAGATGAATCCGCCTCAGATAATTAACCAGTCGCAGTCTCAGTCTCAGATGATGAAGATGAATCCGCCTCAGATTGTTAATCAGTCTCAGTCTCAGTTTCAAGGAATGAATCAGCAAATGATGAACCAGAATCTGCCTCCGATGATGAACCGTGGAGGATACAAGGTTTGGTCTCAGCAGCTTCCTTTGGATCCTAACATGAAATTTCAGAACCCTAATTTGAAACCTAATTTCGCTAAGCCGGGGCGAAGTAATAATAATAATAACAACTGGAAGGGAAAGAAGGTTAGCGGGGACAAGAGGAAAGATATTAGGAGAATGGAAAAACCCAATCAGAGTAATTCTAGCAGTGTTGGTTACCAACCACCTACTCTTCAAGAGTTGCAATCTCAGAATCGTTTGAAAGCTCGTAAGTTCTATCCTAAGAAGAAGTTTAATGCTAGATTTGCTCCTTTTGCGCCCAGGAATACAACTTCGTTTATTATTCGTGCTAAGAAATCAGGTGGTATTGCATCACTTGTGTCGCCTTGTCCTGTGACCCCGGCCGTGCTTCCTACTCCGATATTGTCTCCGTCGAGGGAGATGTTGGGAGATATGGCGAAGGAAGAGTGGGGTGTTGATGGATATGGGTCGATGAAGGGTTTGATTAGGCTTCGTGATGTTCATGATGACGAAGATGAAGATGGTGGTGATGGGTCAAGTGAGAGTGATGTGGAGGAACATGTGGAGGAACATGTGGAGGTTGAGAGGAGGTTGGACCATGATTTGAGCCGGTTTGAGATGATATACCCGAATTACGGAGGTGGGGATTATAATAATGTCTTAGAGAATAGGGTTGATGATCAGGATTCTCATATTGCACAGTTGGAGGAAGAGAATTTGACACTGAGGGAGCGTCTTTTCCTAATGGAGAGGGAGTTGGGTGATCTGCGAAGAAGGATGCTGTTTCTGGAGAGGCAGAGCCAGAACCAGATAGTGGAAGATGTCAATGAGGAAGTAGTGGAGAATGTGTCTGATAACGAAAGTGATGGAGGATCTGATGTACCTGTTATGGGAATTGAGAACAATGTTGAGATGGTTGATTCAATGCTTGAAAGTGAGAGAAGTGAAAACGTTGAGGTCAATGTTGCTGTTAAGTTAGACAATGAGGGAGTATCAGAAGCTGAAGGCGTAGAGGATGTTTTTATGGGAGAGTCTGTTCCTAGCGAGGTGGTTTCAAATCAAGATGAGATCAAAGGTATTGAAATGGGAGGTGGCTTTGTGTTCGATGTAGTGAAGGAAGAGAAGGATGAGCATAAGAATGAATTAGCCACACAACATTGTGTATCAGATGAATCTTTTGCCAAAGAAAAAGATGGCGAGGATCATAAAGAGTGCGGCGAGAATGAAATGATCGATAGAAGTGATGAATCAAATACCCAAGAAGCAACAGATAAAGTGCAAATTGCTTAATGAGTGAGAAGGAGAAGAATGAATGCTAAGATCAGATAGTTGGGACAAGTTGAGGGACTGCCGGAGATGATGATTTATCTGTTGCTCAGTAGCTGAAGCCGTTCCTCAAGTAGGGTTTTGAGGGGAAGGCTAGTGAGTTTTTAATGCATACATTGTTGGTATTTGCAGACCCGTAGATTAGTAGTTTACTTTTGTTGTGTCTATTTTGTTTCTTAATTGTATGGTTTGGTAAAATGAAAGATTAGGGGAAAGGGAATTCTTCAGAGTGACATCTCTTGGTTTGGTTTGAGAGATGTGACCGTTGCTGAGCTTGGTTCTTTTTGTCTTTCTTTACTTATTCCTGGGGGGCGAAGTTTGGTTGGGTAGGTCTATGTAGAAAATAGTAGGAGAGAGATGTTTGCTGGTTCCTTTGTGTAGGAATTAAAATGTATGTCAAAATATTTTGCACAGTGGCGCCCTCTCAATGAATTTTTCTTGTTAAAATTGTTAGATATTTATGAATGACCATGCAACTATAAATACTGTTTTTTGTCTATTTGATGCCCGTCGGCAGAATAAAGTACTTTCTAATGAGGAAAGCTACCTTAGATTAATTATATTTTTTTATCTAGTCTTTCAAATATGCAGTATTTGTTATGAAGGTGTATTCAATTTCACAGTTTGATGTGGCAGTTCCTAGGAGTTAAGGTGGTGAATGATATAGGGGTTTGGATTTACAAGGATTTGTATGGAAAAGCACACCAGGACACTACTTGATAGGAGAAAATGGATGTGATTAATGATGTTAACTGGTTTTCTCTTTTGTCATGTTTTTTTTTGGCTTTACTCATCGGATTCCAAATGGTATTACAATGTACTATGTTTGTGTATTTGAAGAGAAACCATGCGTTGTTTCATTCATTTGATGATTTTGTCTCAATTCTGTTGCAGTTCTGTTCTATCTACTCCAGTTCATTTATGCCATTGTTTTTCTATGTTTGCAGATACATAACCGTCAGTCGATTAAATAATTAAACGTAGTAATTACCGTGGTATTAGAGTTTGTAGTGTTTATCAGAAAGATAGGGCGATATCTACTAAGTTAGGTCGCAGAATGTTGGATCCATAAGGTTTCAATTTTTTTTACTCCAATGTAACTTGACGTCATCATGCCACGCGTCGGAGATCCTTGCGAGACTCATTCATACAGTATAAAAAATGATTTGTAGTGATGATTTTAATAATAAAATAAGTTTTTTTATATTAAAATTTAAAATTTGTACCAATTTAACGTTTTTATTAATCATACTAAAGTATAGGTGTTTAAAGTATAGGTGTTGAGAGAATTGAAACAGTTTTATTAATTATTCCTTCTGTTTTGTTTTTAAGTATATTTTTTATAGAATTGAAACAGTTTTATTAATTATTCCTTCTGTTTTGTTTTTAAGTGTATTTTTTATTTTTTAAAATTATCAGTTTGAGATAATATTAAATGTTATTAAAATTGTTCTTAGATAATTATTATAGAAAAAAGAGAAAAATTAAAATAAAACTAATAAAATAAATGTAATAATTATTTGATATGCGTGAGAAATTAAAAACTGACATCTGAGAAGAAATTGAGAGAGTATAAGCAACAGAGTATTTTTAAATAAAAATATATTAGAAAAAAATAGTTAACACTTTGAATATACCAATTAGTTTGATATGGGTTAAAATATTAATGAGATTATAATCGAGTTGAATGAAGCTAAGGTTTAACATAATCTGAATAAAGAAATAAAAAACATTTAAAAAACATAAAAAATGTATATGGATATTTTGGCATGAATAATCGGTGATTTGTGGATGATCTTTGTTCAATTTCATCTTGGCGCCAGCCACAAACAAGTCACCTAACAAAAAACAGAATTCTCTGGTATCACTACAATGGCTCTCAGTCTCAGAGTTGCGAATGTAAACCTAGGGTTTGAGTCATGTTCCCGTTCAGCTTTTTTTTCACCTCGTAAACAATATAATAGCTTTGTGTTTCGGTGCTCTCAAGTTCAGCAATTATCCATTTCAGAAGAATCTGAGAACTCACTCATCGACGCTCTCGTTGGTATCCAAGGACGAGGACGTTCTTCTTCTCCCAATCAACTCAATGTCTCTTTCTCTTTCTCTCTTATCGTGTAATCTCATTTTTTTCTTCAATTTATCACCGTTTTATTTCCCTTTCAGGCTATTGAGCGTGCTATTCAAGTTCTGGAGAGTTTAGGGGGTGTGTCTGATCCTGTACGTCTTCAATTTCGTTTTTCTCTCTTTTACTATGAACCACGCACACCAGAAACACTACACTGAGACTTCAAAACCGGTATTTATTTGAAAAAATAAATAAATTAAAATTAATCACAAGGTGCTACATAACTGTTTTACTTGTTTTTATCCTTTTCATGAGATGAAATTCTCTTCTGTTCTGCAGACAAATTCTAGTTTGATTGAGGGTCGCTGGCAGCTCATTTTTACTACAAGACCTGGAACAGCATCGCCTATTCAGGTTCTTATTATATTTACTATTGATTTTTAATTTATATTTTACTCATTGCCTAATTTATAAGCGGGGCTTTGAAAGATACAATAATTTGGAAATTTACTTCCAAAAGATTATTCTAATTAGGGGAAGTTCCAATCGCCACGCCATGATGTCTACAAATTGTTGGTCTGTGTAGGAGTGTATGTTTGGTATATGTTTGGCTCTATTTTTGAAGGAGACAAAATTTACTCTACAAGCGTAGAATTTATTATGACCTGTTTGGTTGCTTTCAAGTATAATTAATTTTTGACTTGTTTGGTTACTTTCTTTTTTTACAAATCTGTTTGGTTATTTTTGAGTATAATTGATTTTGCTTGTTTGGTTACTTTCAAGTATAATTGATTTTCCATGTTTGGTTACTTTCAAGTATAATTGATTTTTGTCTCCAAAATTGATATTAAAAACTGGAACTTTTTATTTTTACACTTAAACTTATAGTTCAATTCACTTTTACATAATGTATACAATCATAAATCACTTTATCTTCTTTGCCTTGAGTTTCTAGACAGTTGATTACCATTTCAACCCATTCTGAATAAAAGTTCTTGAACTGAATGAAAACTGAAACAATTTTGAATACCTTTCTAAAAATTTGTGCATTTTTCAGCAGTTCAAAGTAGAATTTCATTGTTTGTGCATGAACTGCCTTATGAAAAGCCTCTACCTCACAGTACACCTTTCAAGCTCGAACAATACTATTAGATTTGGTGCCTGGATAATGTGGTTAAACCTGATTGCTTTTCTACATAAGCTATTTTTAGGTCTTACATCGTGTTCATTTTGAAAAAATGCCGTGTATCTTTTCTATGGGAAACTTGGGTTTTTCTAATATTATCAATGATTCTTGGAATGACTAGTTCGTACAGTAATTATGACAACCATAATGTCGTCTATTGAATAACGGGATAGTTCGACAGTCTTCATGATAGTAGTATAAGCTTTTTTAAAATCGCTAATGGCAAGCTGCATATATTATGTTTCTAAATGCAATCCATTTTGTAAATTTAGGCATGTTGAACTGAAATTTCAATCTGATAATATCTACCTGCCCAAGTGTCTCCAAACTGTTCACAAAACATACCCCATAAATTGCTTACTGATATGATTCAATATGGTATTCTATATTGCTCTTTCAGAGAACATTTGTTGGGGTTGATTTTTTTAGTGTATTTCAAGAGGTTTATCTTCGAACGAATGATCCACGCGTATGCAATATTGTATCATTTTCTGATGCCATTGGTGAGCTCAAAGTGGAGGTAATACTATTACTAAATAAGTTCAACTGAAGTTACCATAAATTTAATACACATTTCTGCATTCAACTAACTTCTTTTCTAATACTATTAGGCGAAAGAGACTGAAACTCTTTGAAACTTTTTAGTTTGAGAGGATTTGTCAAAAGTCAATATTGTGAATTGAATTATGCCACATAGATTATAATTTATAACGCCGGATTTCTTTTATTTTTTCACATATGTATAGTACAATAGTTGAATCTATTGAAAGTTTGGTTTTTGAAAGAATGAAGTTTGGTCTATATGTATGACCAAATTCATTCTTGTTCTTATATTCATGCTTTTCAATCTGAACAGGCAGCAGCGTCCATCAAAGATGGAAAAAGAATCCTTTTTAGGTTTGACAGAGCTGCCTTTTCTTTTAAATTTCTTCCATTTAAAGTTCCATATCCAGTTCCATTTAAGCTACTTGGAGATGAAGCAAAGGGTTGGTTAGACACCACATACTTGTCGCATTCTGGAAACCTTCGCATCTCAAGAGGAAATAAGGTGATTAGGCATTTCCAGTATAAACATCATCCTAATAGTCTTTCTTTCCTTTCCTCGAGTGAAATGCTAGATCGTCTAGCACATCAAAGTATCTTTATGTTTCCAAGACTTATCAGCAGCATATATATAGTGCAGGGAACCACATTTGTGTTGCAGAAGCAAACTCAACCTAGACAAAAGTTATTAACCGCAATTTCGTCGGGGGTGCGTGTTACAGAGGTAAGAGTGCTGTTTTTTTCTTCTCATTCCAATATAAACCTAACTGGAATATTTCAATGTCACTGTTTTTCATATCGTTAATTTCAACAGGCAATAGATGAACTCATTTCCTTAAATAAGAAATCTGAGGATAAAGAACCAGAACTAGAAGAGGGTGAGTGGCAGATGATATGGAATTCACAGGTAGATTTTGAAATACAGAGTTCCAACGGATAATCTTTTTACTCGCAGTTTTTTATTTTTATTTTGGGGAAATACTGTTGAAGATGGTTTAAATGTAAGCAATTATGTTGCAAGGTTTTCTTTTTCTTATTTAAACAACTTATTTTCTACAGACTGTGACGGATAGTTGGTTAGAGAATGCTGCCAATGGTTTGATGGGAAAGCAGGTATCATGTTTATCTTGTATTTTTTCACTTTAATTGCCAATTTGCCATAAATGTCGCTTCACGAGTTTGTGCATTGCAATGATTTTTACAGATTGTTGGGAAGAATGGACGAATAAAGTATGTGGTTGATATCTTGCTTGGGCTGAAGTTCTCCATGACTGGAAATTTTGTGTAAGTTCACTGATTTTCAGGGGAGGATTTTTACAAACGCAATGAATATAAGTTCCTACAATCTCCGTTTGAAATATATATCGATGGGAATCAATGTTTCTTACATCTTGTTTTGACCAAAATTTGCAGAAAAAGCGGCCCAAAAGTGTATGCGGTTACAATGGATGATGCAGCCATAATTGGGGGCCCATTTGGATATCCGCTAGAACTTGGCAAGAAGTTCATCTTGGAGATTTTGTAAGATGACATCTTCCAAGAAATCACATTCTCTTCTTAATCCATCCACTATATAATAGATTTTGTATACTAGCTCAAGATCTTCTCTGTTATATCATTTCTTTGCAGATTCAGTGATGAGAAGGTCAGAATTAGCAGTGGAGACAATGGAATTATTTTTGTACATGTTCGCAATGCATAGCGGTGATCGAATTAGTAATGATTTATCATGGGAGTCCTGGAAGAAGATTGGACATCATTTTGTGGGTGAAGGTTTGACATCAAGTGTGTATTTAACCATTCCTGTTAACCACATATCATTGCTATCTAAACACTATTATATATGCAAATGACATCATTAATGGTACCGACTATAGGGAAATTGAATTCTTTGAAATCTCGTTGTTGCTTCATAAAAACCCATGAATGCCTTGGCATCTTTTATAAGGTGAATTCAAGTCATTAAACTATTTAATAATAAATAAATAAAACTCGGCGTCATATTCTAGTTGTATAATTTCTCAAGCTACTAAACTACTTAACAATAAATAACTAAATAAATTAAAAAATAAAACTCGGCGTCATATTCCAGTTGAAATAATTTCTCAACCATCTTTTTAGTTGCAATTTGGTGTTGATATGAGTGGCTCTAGAATTATCTTTGATTCACTAATCTCACTTTTATTTTTGATACGTTAGTTTGAAAATTAGCTTCAATTGATCACTATGCAACCTCCATTGCTTTTGAAGAGATTACACCTTTCACTTCTCATTTTTTCCCTGTCACCCCTGTATTTTAGACAATTTGACCAATTTATTATTTAAACAAAAACAAGTGAAATCATAAATACCGACTTTGTCTAGTATAAATGTTAATAGTTTATATCGATCTTTAAATTGGTGAAAATTATTAGAATGTAAGAGAAAGTTGATATTGAATAATACAACTTCAAGCTGTTTGTTTACATGAATAATCAATCCTTTAGATGATAAGGAATCACCCACACAACTAACTACTTTTCACTAACTTCTAGTTAGTTATTTTATTAGTCAATTACATTATAACATTTACATATTGAACACAATGCTGCAATATTTTATTTGACATTCCAACGTACACTCCTCTAATCTGAAACTAGGAAAAGAGGCAAATCTGAAACTAACAAAAGAGACACATTAAAACATGATAATTCATGCAAATTGTTCAGCAAGACTCAAATGACACAAACTTCAATTTTTATTTTGATGTAGCTGAATGACTCAAGCTTCATTGGATTAGTTAAGACGTGTAAGTTGCTTTTCAATGCTGCAATGTTTCAATTGTATCATCATTGGTCAAATCTCTAAGAAAGTGAAAACTTACATCTATATGCTTGCATCTTCCATGCGTCACTAGGTTCTTTGACAACTTGATTGTGAAACTGTTGTCATACATGATGATATTGTACCTTGACTTTGAGTCTGACCAAGCTTATGAAAAATGCTTCGAAGCCACACTACTTGACAAGCACATGAGTTTGCTGCAACAAACTCAGCTTTAGTGCTTGAAAGAGTCGCCTCGGGTTGCTTCTTTGAAGCTTGAATACATACTCTATAATGCTTTTTTTGTCATCACTATCTCCTGCATCAGAGTCTGGCCACCCTTGCAAGACCATCTCATCATTCATCTTGTATAAAACTTCCAGATATATAATCCCTTTTAGATACCTTAGGATTCTTTTTGTAGTTGCAGGTGAGTTTCAGTTGGTCTCTCCATGTATCTAGCTACCAAGCATACTAAATAGGCAAGACTAGACCTGGTAGCAAGCAAATACATCAGGCTTTCCACCATTTGCTTATAGCTTATGGCATCAACTGGCTTTCCATTTTCTTTATTATTCAACCTGCAATCCGACACAATAGGATTACAAACCTTATTGTATTGATTCATTTCATTGACATATTTTTGTTGGCAAATGAAGATTCCTGCACTTTGTTGCTTTACTCCAACTCCAATAAAGTATCTTCCCCATATTTGTTATGGTAAACATCTTCCTCATTGATTCCTTGAATCCTTCAAACATTTGTTGATTGTTGCCTATGTTGATTACATACAAGTTGACAATCAATATCTTTTCCTCAATATGCTTCACAAACAATGTATGTTCATGAGGACACTTTTTAAAATTCTCTTGATTGAAATTTGCTTCAATCTTGGTATACCAGTGTCGCATCTCGAAAAATTCTCTTGATTGAAATTTGCTTCAATCTTGGTATACCAGGAACCTCTTATGGTGATTTGCGATGAGCGTTATCTAAGCCTGTTTGTTTTCTTCTCAATGGTAAACGTGAATTGTTAGGATAAAAGGAATAAGTGCTAAGGGAAATGGGTGGTTATAGGATAAGGTGCTTGCCAAGGATTGGGGCCCTTGTGCCTACGTATGCTCATTCGGACGAGAATGAGAAATTAGAGCGTCATAGTTCGACTACGGAAAAGGATAGGGGAAGCGGAAGATGAAGGGGATTGTGGAAGGAATAACGAAGAAAGATAGAAGTGTGCTCGCCAAGATCGTCGCAATCCTGTGCCTACGTATCTTACGTTCAAGAGTGAATGAAGAATCAGAGCGTCTGTAGTTCGTGGAGACGACCATGAAAAGATGAAAGGTTGAATTAAGTTGAAGTTTAGTTTGAAATGAAAGATTGACTGACGAGCAAACCAAGGGGCGTGCCTCGAGAGCTGTCACTCAAGAATCCAAGGAATGCGAGATTTCAAGAACTCAGTTCTTTCGGGAGTTGATTGAAAAGGTTGCGAGAGAGAGTTGAATGTTTTGAATTCGAAAGAGTGGATGAATAACAACTCAAGGGGTGTGCCTTGAGAGCTATTCATTCGGAGATTCAAGGAATGCTTAGACCCCAAGAATATACTTCTTTCGTAAGTTTGATTATGAAAATGTTTGAATATAGATTAGGTGTTTTAAGACGAAAGGATGAATGAATGACAACCCAAAGCGTGCGCCTCAAGAGCCATTCGTTCGAAGATTCAGTGAATGCTTGACTCAAAGAATCTCCTTCTTTCGTTATTTGTTAAGAAAACGTTTCTAAAAATATTAGACCACGTTGCAAAAAGAGGTGGACTGCGAGGCAAAAAGCACTCGACTTACAACTTGGTTTAAATTACCGCTTGACGTTGGATCAAGGGTTTGACTTATATTTTCATGAAAAACGTGATGAAATGGAAGTGGTTTGAAAATGACTCGACGAAGAATTGAGGGTTTGATAGAAAATGGAACCGGCTTGACGACGAGTTAAGGGTTAGGTTGTGAGAACTGATATTAGTCCCCGAGGGTGCCCCAATATCGAAACCACGATGAAATGTGAGAGTGTGTGCGATAGGTTGATGGCGAATGCGTATGAGCACTCGACTTACAGGGGGTGTTTGAAAATGACTCGATGACGAATCGAGAATTAGTTTGAAAACGCTTTAATCTACGCTAGTCTCTAAGGATGCTCCTAGAAGATAAACCGCAATCAAAGAAACACGAATGCGTACATCGAAATGGGAGAGGGGTACATGTGAGTTACACGAGATTGCACGAAATAAATGGTCTCGTTGTAAGGTAGCCCAAGAGAAATCTGTGTGTGTGCGACGTGTCCTAAACTAAGCCTTGAGCAAAAGTCGGACAAAACTCCAAGCTAGGGTTTCTGACAAAGTCCAAATTCCGTTGCTCAGACAAGTAACCAACAACCCACCAATTTAGGCTTTTAGGTTTTGATAAGTTATTATGTGTTTTGAAAAGAAAGTGAATAAGATGAATAAGATGAATATGAGTATGACAATATGAATAATATGGCAAGATATATAACAATATAATCGAGATAATATTCACAATAGTATAATCAGGATAATATTAACAAGTATATGAACAAGATAATATAAATCAAGATATAGTGACTGAATGTAAATCAAGGGTATATTTGATTGAAAATAAAACAGTTGTATATTGACGGGAAGTAAAGTTAGTCGTTAGTTGATTTGTGAATTGAATCGGGACGAAATGTAGCGCTAAACCGTCGTAGCTCGCTTCAAATTTTCCTTTCCCATTACTTGCATCTTGGAATCATCCCCTAACTAAACAGATTCACAAAATCTTTCATCAAAATTGAACAACCACTTTTGATTGTTGGTTTTTGTGTCTTCCTTTTGAGCCATGAGTAACAACTCTTCACTTTCAACGAATTCAACAAAGTTGACATTATTCTCTTGCCAAATTGGACATTCATTTTGATAGTGCCTTATCTTGTGGAACTTGTAACATTAGATATGATCTATGCTCAGTCTTCCTCTGCCACGACCACGAAAGCCACCATGTCCCCTACCTCGGTTGATGATACCACCACGACCATAACTTGTAATCTTTAACACCCCGTTCATCCTCTTTTTCTTGAGTGATCTTCATCCTTTGCTCATGCACCATAGACTACTTTGTAGTTCATCAATGACAAGGTTGTGACATCATTTGATTCTTCTATGGAACACACCACATAATTAAATTTTATGGTCATAGACCTCAACACCTTCTCAACAATGGTGGTTTACTCCATCTTCTCACCTTGAGCAGTCATTTTGTTTGCAATAGGCAAAGTTCTTGCAAAATATTCATCAACTGTTTCATTATCCTTCATGCAAAGAACTTCAAAATCTCAACGTAAAGCCTGTAATTGAACTCTCTTCACTTTTATAGACCCTTGATACTTACTGTGCATGGAATCCTAAATATCTTAGGCTATGTTGCGACTCAGAATTGTTTCAAGAATTGTTGGATCAATAGCTTGAAACAAATAGTTCTTGGCCTTGAGATCTTTGAGCTTGTTTTCGTCTGCAAGTTTTCTTTATTTCGGCGTTGCATCTGGCGGTGAAACCGTTACACCCTTCTCTACGAACTCCCAATACTGCTTGGATATAAGAAGATTCTCCATAAGCATGACTCAATAATCGTAGAATCTGTCGAACTTGGGAATTACTGGTGTCAAGAATTTTGATGAATCATCCATGGAGATGATTTAGATGAGGGTCTGGTACAAAAAGATAATGAAAAATAACAACTTTCTCGCACCACAATATTGAAAGTGTGTTTCTTGAATGAAAGAGGCACACCTGGATCATCAACCAGTGCTCTAGATATCACTTGTTAAAATGTGAGAGAAATTTGTCATTGAATAATG